GTATAAATATACACACTACCGTGAGAAGGGTCACACTGTATATGTATATCAAGACTCTTTTATCCTCCATATCTGTATGATTTCCCGAATCCGATTGTCACGCAGGTAGCTTTAGGTGCGTCTGTGGTCAATTTAGTAGTTTTCTTGTGAACACAAGATCTAATATCCAAAACCGCAGATGTGCGGCTGGCTTCTGCTTTTGATTCCGTACAATTGTGTTTCTTTTGGCAACCAATTGTTACCCAGCCTTCACACTTGACTGACCATACTGATAATGGGCTAAAAGCCCGAAACATATCCGTTTTTCGATAAAATTTTCTCTTGGATATAAATGTTTCTCAACATTCAAACTTTCAACGACGCAAAGTTTGACTTTATAAATCCTGATGATGCCAACTACTTCTTACAACTTAGATAATCACTTCCTTGAAGGCACGACAGTCAACAATTTCGGGATATCATAATACAGGGGAAGCCTACGAAAGCTTCATTCAACTTATTTGAAGGTCCAGAGACAGAAGTGTTCAGACCTCAATATAAATTGAGTGAATGATAAATCCATTAATTCTATTTTTTTCATCTTCAACTACTCCTACTTTTGTTACTTTACTGCCGTTCATCTGGGATTATCATGACGATGCCGTGCAACAGGCTTCTGCTTTTCAATAATTGAAATAAATTATATTATTATGCTATCAAGATATAACAATGCATTTTACCGAAAATGGGCAAAAAATCAAAATTATGTATCCGAAGTTTTGCACATAGATTGAAAAATTGCATTCAGAAAACTTTTAGTGATAACTGTTTTCGATATGTTAGGATAACCCTACTTTTCAAAAAAATTGAAAGTTGATAGATAATGCGAATCATTTGACAACAATTTTTTTTGTTATTCATCACCTCGAGCAAAATTGGTGCTGAAGTCGAAGATGGGTCAAACGGTAATACAGTAATTCAAAAAAGTTTTGTTTATAATCTGACTCGCATTTTTTTACACACGTTTTTTTTGCAGCTGAATCCTGACGTGAATGCTTTTCAAAGGAAATTCGTCAACGAAGTCAGGCGTTGCGATGAGATGGAAAGGAAACTGCGCTATCTCGAAAAAGAGATAAAAAAAGATGGAATCCCTATGCTCGATACCGGGGAGAATCCAGAAGCACCTCAGCCTAGAGAGATGATTGATTTGGAGGTAAGAATCATTGAACAATACTCTCATACTTTAACAAGGACAAGGAAAACACATTTTTGTTCAGTGAAATACAAAACTATAATAATAATAATAATAAATCAAATAATCATCTTTTTCTGGAAGGAAGACAGTAATAAAACCACTTGAAGAAAAGAAAAATCAACGAATCAACTAGACTTTTCTTCAGTGGAATCTCAATTTCCAACAAGATGGGGTACTTCTCCACTATGTTAGGTTAGTTAGGTTAGGTAAAAAGTCGGTTACTTTTTTTGGAGAATACTCTTTTAGATAGCAAGAGTGATTATCTGCCAGTGTTGTTCATGGTCGAAAAAAAAAATAATAGAATACATGTCTAAAAAAGTTACAAATGTGATAGTTGACGTACCAAAACTGACATGCAAAACGTGTGAACGTGTGAAAATATATTAACACGTCTGTCAGTTATTATACGTCAACTGCCAGATTGTCAGTTCTGGTGCGTAAAATGTCAGTTGATAGTTTCTCAAGATTCAACAAAATTGGTGAAAAAGTAACATTCTTTGAGATGGGCTAATTCTGGTAGATTTTGTCAGGAGCCTGAAACTATTTTTGTAGTCTAGGTTTTCGGTATTAGTTGCAATGGTTTCATTACCAGCTCCACTATTATGACCAGCTCCAGGCCAACTTCATTATGTAGAGTACTTGTTGGTTCAACCGTTCCGATAAGAGAACTCTATACAAAANGAAAAAAATTGTGTATTATACACGGGAAAAATATTAGATTTCAGCTCTCGGTTTTTTGACAACACAATCCGTGAGCTAAAATCTAATACTTTTTTTCCCTTGTATAATAAACAACTATTTTCAAATGAAGAAATACATGTAAAGTGAGTTCGAGTTCTATCAAGGAGGTTACGAACAGCGCCATCTGTCCGCGAATAGTTCAAGCAATAATGTCGATAATTCTGTCAAATACAGTTCCCGAGCTTGAGAGTTACAAACAAACAAACAAACAAACATATATGTATACATACAGGTAAAGCTAATAAAAGCGTGATAAAAAAATAGCTTTCATAGTGTTTCTGTATGAACTGAAACACATTTTTTTTGAGTAAGTCATTGAAAATGGGGACAAAAGAAATTCAGTCTTCAACAACTACGTGGGCTGAAAAGTTTCGGACCTGACACATAGATGACGCTATTCTTATTGCATTCATCGCTTTTTCAGTTAATACTAACCTTTCAAAGAAAGCTGTTGAAATTTCACGATATTCTACTCATAAGTTTGTGAGTTATTATGCTATGAGTGACACGACTTTTGTTATTTTCGAAATAATGGATCAAAAACAATTTTGTGTTTTAATTTTACACTGCTTCTTGATGGGAAAAATACCGTGCAAGTGAAGCAATGGCTTGAAACATTTTATAAGGACGCCGCTCCATCAGAAATAACAATTAAATGTTGGTTTGCTGACTTCAAACGTAGTCGTAGAGACACCAATGACGCTGAACGCAGTGGAAGTCCAAATGAGGCAGTAACACCAGAAAATTGAAAAAAATCCAAATTATCGAAAATATATCAAAAGAACGTGTTAGCTTCATATTGCATGAGCATTTGACTATGAGAAAGCTCTGTTCAAAATGGGTGCCGCGCGAGCTGACTCTGTTGACCAAAAACAAGGATGTCTTGATGATTGTGAACAGTCAATCAAAACAACGGCAAAACTACATAAATTGAATTTTGAGTTGCTCCCACATCCACAGTATTCGCCAGATTTGGCTCCCTGCGACTACTGGCTGTTCGCAGACCTCAAAAAATGGTCACCGATAAGAAGTTTCGCTCCAATGAAAAGGTTATTGCTGAAACTAAGGCCTATTTTGAGGCAAAAAATGAATCGTTCTACAAAAGTGGTATTGAAATGTTAGAGCGGCGCTGGAATGTTTGTGTGGCTCTTGATGGAGATTACGTTGATGAATAAGGCCAATTTTGAACCCCGAGCCCGAGACTTTAAGCCCATGTGTTGAGTCTACTTTACGAAAGTACTACTTGAGAAATGCTTCAATTTGCAATGAATCTACGAAAGTTCTATTGGATTATATTTGAAATTTACATACTTGCTTATTATTTCAACAGTATCAATCGTACTTGCGAAAGTGAAGTTTCCTTTTCTTTTCAGTATTCTATTTGCGAGTGACATCCATTAACTTTGAAATACTGGAATTTGCGGTATTTTATGTATGTTGCATAAGACGTGGTAATAATTAACAATTGGAATTTCAGATTGCCATGGTCGTTTATTTTATTTGAGTTTTTATTGTAAACTATATATTTTATTATAGTAAATAATGTTTTATTTATTACCGGCTGAATGGGCGAAAAATAAATGGAAAGCTGATTCATTCCGATTATAAATCTAAATCGCTAGAAAACAACCTAAATTT